ATGCTTCTTCCTAAGTGAAAGCTAGCAAACTTCTGGTTGGGCAGCAATTCAGTAGATACACTGCACATGATATAGTTTCAGTCCAATATTGTTTAGGCAACTTTTTCTCTTTGAGTAGACTTCTTGCCATGTCAAGAATTGTTCAATTCTTTCCCTTAGCTATACCATTTAGCTATGGTGTATAAGCTGTTGTTGTTTGATGTTTGTTGCCTTGTTGTGTACAAAAGGCTTCAAAGTCATTTATTGTATATTCTTCACCTTGATCAGATCTCACGGTTCTTATTTTATAGCAACTTTGCTTTTCAATAATTGCTTTAAAATCTTTAAAACATTTAAATAATTCTTACTTCCTCTTCAGAAAGTATACTTATGTCTTTTTGCTAAAATCATTAATGAAAGTAAGGAAGTACCTATTTTGTCTAGTTAACATAGGTTTTATGGGACCACACACATCTGTGTGCACCAACTCCAATGTCTTATTTTCTTTCCAATTGACTTCTTTAGCAAAACTAGATCTGTGATGTTTGCTGAAGACATAACTTTCACAGATTTCATCTAGATGATTAATGTGGGGCATACCTTTGGCCATCTTCTTTCTTATAAGCATTTTCAGACAAGTGAAATTTAGATGTCCAAGCCTTAGGTACTAGAGCCATTCTGCATTATTAGTGATGACACTTCAATCTTTGCAGTATCATATTGGTTATTTATAGGAAACATCCTATTCTTGGACATCTTTACATGGGCAATTAATCTTTCATTGTAATCTTCAATTATTAGATTACAGTTCTTCATAAGAAGAGTGTAACATTTCTCTAGAAGTTGGTATATACTTAGCAAGTTATGCTTAATAGCTGGAACATAATAAACATTTACAATGTAGCTATGATCGCCATTCTTCAAACGGATTGAAATGTTGCCTTTTTTTTTCACTGGAACCTTGGAGGTGTCTCCAAAAGTGACTTGGCCTTTTACAGTTTTATCTAGATCTTCAAATAGATCTCGTTGACCACTTATGTGATTTCTAGCTCCAGAATCCAAATACCATATATTCTCTTGATTCTCACCTAGTCCTTGTTGGACTACTAATGCAGCTAGTCCTTTAATGATGGCATCCTTCTCTGTATAATTGGCTTGTTCACATACCTCTAATAGAGTTTTCCTTCGACATTCAGTGATATAGTACCTAAATTGATTGCAACTATAACATTGGATATTTCTCTTATGATGGTTATTGTAACCACCTCCTCTTCCTCTAGGAGTAAATGCTTGTTGTCCTTAGCCTCCTCTAGTAGTGTTTCTACCTCCTCTTCACCTCCTCTTCCTCTGAATCCTGTATTCCAAGATCTTTTTCCTTGAAACTGCTGAAATCCTTCACGTCTTTGTTGACTCCTTCCTTGAATGGTATACCTATTTGTTGAAATCTTCATGCCCTTCTTGAGAGACAACTTTGATTGTAAGGCATGTTCAATTGCCTTATCTCCATTTCTTTCCACAATCTTTTGCTTATGAGCTTGCAAAGAACTTATAAGCTCATCCACCATCAACTTGTCCACTTCTTTGGATTCTTTAATAGAAACAATAACAAAGTTAAAATTTGGATCTAGTGATTTTAAAATTTTCTCAATAATTCGAGCATCTGAGAGGACTTCTCCATTTCTTCTCATCTGATTGATTATCATCATAATTCTTGTGTGATAATTAGAAATAGATTCTGATAACTTTATTTGCACTGGTTCAAATTCACCTCGCAAAGATTAAAGATGAATCTTTTTGATTTTATCTATACCTTTGTATTTTTGTTAGAGAGCCTCTCATATTTTTTTTGAAGTTTCTGCGGAAGCAACGATCTCAAATATGGCTTCATTAAGACCTTGATAAATAATGGTCTTTGCTTTATTGTCTTTGTTTCTATTAGCTCTCAAGAGTTGTTTTTGTGCCTCTTGTAATAAATCTTCAGCTTCTTTGGACTCTGGTTCATCATAGCCATATTCTGCAATCTCTATAAACTCTTGTGAACTAAGAAATACCTTCAATCTAATGCACTAATTATCATAGTTGTCTTTGGTTAGCTTCGAGATGAGTGTTTGTGCATTTTCTATAGTCATTTTGCTCTTTTAATGACTATATCACTTCTAGGAGTTGGATTTGGAGAAACGGACACTGTAGATAGATTCAGAATGCTCAAAACAGCAAGCAACTGGTCTGAATTTGCTGAAAATAAGTAAAAAATGGGTTGAACCTGTTAGAAAACTGATTCTACACGTTAGGCGGTTTGCTGGGGCTGAACCGAGAATATTCTTAGGAATATTCTATATGGCTCGGCTTGGCGACTTGTATAGCTTGGCTCTTCAGCTCAGTTGGAGGCTTGTACAGCTCGACTTGAAGGTAGCTTATACAACTCGGCTCTGCTTAAATATGGTGCGCGTGTGGCTCAGTCGTCTTCTTCTTCGGGGCGAGTGGGCTATAATGATCGAAGTTTCAGGCAGCGCGTGTGGGCGTGGGTTCCGATGAAGCTGATTTTTGCACCAATGAGTTTGTATGGATGAATACTACACAATGGAATGATAAAAAATGGTTTTTGACAACTTTAAAAAATCAGATATATCCCAAGAACACCTATGTTTTCTAACGAACGGGGTTCTGATAGCAATTGTTGGTGGGAAAAACCACTAATGGTGGCTTTGGAACACTCAGAGGGGATAAAACACATGGTTTTATTATAAAAACAAAAGCTTACAAAATACAAACACACATTCTTAATACACATCCTCTTTTTCTCTCTTGTGTTTCTCTCTTCTCTTTCCCACATATAATAATATAAACTTAACAGTTTATTTATACATAAATTGAGAGGCAGCAAGTAATAGTGGTTGACAATAGATAGCTGCAAGTGGTGGTTGTTAATAGTAGATGACAGTTAGTGATGATAATTGATAATAGATAACTGTAGGTAATGGTTGATGATTGATTAAGTTTACCACAACAAACTAAACAACAATCGAGAATTTTAAGAGAAGGACAAATCACTAAACTCATTAAACGCTGAAACCCAACTTACAAACATCAAGGATTCAAAAATTTCTTCACAAAAAAACCACTAGATCCTTCCACGCCAAAATGCTGACAAAATGGGAATACTTGCAGGTTGTTGATGGACTAGGAAGTTAGAAACCAAGCTCAAATGTAGGCTTACGCTCAATAATTTGATAAGAAAATAACTTTTTTACTTAAATCTTAGCAAATAAATCTTTCATTCAGCTAAACTGAAAGGCAAACCGTAAGACTTGGAGTTTTACAGTACGCTTCATTTATCAAATAAACATGCAATCTCAATCAAGAAACCCAGAGAGAGTTGATAATTGAAATAAAGGATCAAACAAAACAGACCCAATTCTCAAACCTTAAAACAAAGATATTCCAGATAGTTTATGAGTCCGTGAAGACAACATACTATTCACTACATCTTAAAAATAAATGTATTCTCTTTATACTGTGTATTTAAAACAATAAATCTTGTTGATCATAACTTCAAGATTCAAACTCAAAAAATTAAAAGAAAAGGAGAAAATCTCTTTACCAATCTTGGGATTGTCTCAACGAGGCATTGAAACTTCGAAAGCCTAGTTTAGGCACCAGAGATAGTAGCTGCTGAGACCCAATGAGAAAAGATAGTTAAAGACTGTGTTAGCACCAAAAATAAATAAATAAAAATTATTAAAATATTAAAGTTATTGCTTGTTATAACAGCAAAATCCAGAATCAGAACTCGAATTCCTTCTTCTCTTTTTTCATCTATTTCTCTTTCTTTGCTTTTGAATCTGTATAATATAGGTATGCTATGAAGGTTGCCTTCATTATCTGAAAATGAAGAACATTTCTCATCGAAAGATCAGGCCATTAATAGCACTCACCGGTAAATAATGCAAGATTTGAATGGTTCTTAAGAGAGTTGTATTTTAAAATGATTTTTAATAAAAAATACATCAAAATAATTTAATTTTTAAATATTAACAAATCTAAAAAAACTAAAAATATAAAAAAATAATTTTAAATTTTATAAAATCTTCCTTCAAAACCCAATACCAAACATCCTATTCTCTGTAAATGTCTCTTATTTGAATTTGAAACATCAAAACAACACTTTCCGTTTCTTGCTTTCATAGGAAAAAAAGGAATTATTTTTTAGCTGAAATCCTGATTTCCGCAGGCCGAAATTGAATTTGGAAGAGGAAAAACCTTTTTTTTAATTTTTTTTTTATCAAATTGACGGGCTCCATGCAGACAGATTGTTTTGGGCATTACGAAATCTTAAGCCGAAACAGAGTTCTAAAAATTATTATAACTCAGTACAGTAATAGTGGCAGGCTGGCAGCTTCTACTAATAAAAATAACAAGAGAGAGAATTATAACTTAGTTTTTAATTACTTATCGTAACTGAAAGAATAATTATTTAAAGATTGTTTGAGAGTGTAATGTGTTGTTTTTTTTTTTAAAAAAAATTTGAATTGAAATATATTAAAATAATATTTTTTAAATTTTTAAAAAATTATTTTTAAAATTAGTGTATTAAAATAATTCAAAATATATAAAATAAATAATTTTTAAAACAATTAATTTTTTTGACAATACGGTGCAAAATTCTCTAATCTATAATTTTAAATCTGTCATCTACTCAATATTTTTAATCAACTTCATATCTTTTTCTAATTTATCATGTTTTTATTTTTTCGAAGATAAAAAAATAATAATTTAAGCACAGGATGCACAAGGTACAAGAAAAGCGGGTATGTTTCGTTAGCAAATGACTTAATTAACCTTTCTCAATTCCATCAAAGTTTTTTTTATCAAATCTTGCTAATGAATATCTTATAATACAAATGAAAATCTTACATTAAGATCTTCTTGCTCTCTTGGCTTGGAACCTCGGTTCCAATTCATTTCGATCGAGAGGATAAAAACAAGAGGAGCTTGGCATGATCAAATCAAAGCGTTGTATCTCATCTCTCACGTACTTGACGAGGATAAGATGTCAAGTGATTGCCGTCAATCGGTTCCGGTTGGAATTCAACTGAAACCTCACTGTATTTACTAAACATATCATCTTTTATCGCAACCAGACAGGGATCGAATCCCACGAATATGTGTGTCGAGTCCATGCACTTCTTCTCATCATACCAGCCATGGAGATAGCAACTGAGATCATGGCTATCACCGTGTTTATTGCGGAACCGATACGTGCATTTAACTTGCAAACCATGGCCGAGAGAACGACATGCAATGACAGCGCAAAGAGAGAAACCCAAGAACTCGCTTTTAGCCAAATGTGACGATAGCTGGAATGTTACCGTAGAGCCTCTACTTCGATGGCTAAACCACTTCGGAGTTTTGTATCCAGGGAGGCAGAAACTACATGCCCCTTCTGGAACATCGGGCACCTGTTAATACAATTAAAATAACATCTTAAAATGAAAGGTGGCAAATAAAGAAGGGGAAAAAAAAAGGTATCGCAGAGGTTTGAGAAACGGACCTGATGGTATAACCTTTTGGTATAAAGTTGAAATTTCAATAAGGAATGCGCCAAGATTTTATTGGTCTCAGGCAACAAACTACAGCAACGAGTGAAAATGAATTCAAAAATGTTCCCCTCAACTCCAGTTGATGAGTTTGCTACAGTTCTCAAACTCTGGCATTCATGTGCATCTAACTTTGATAGCCGTGGTGGAAGCTCCGGTAATGATTCAAGTCTCCTGCAATTCCTTAATCCTAGATATTGCAACTCAAACAGTAGATATTTGCAGTTTCCCACTTCCAAGCAGGCAAGTCCCATCAGATTTCCAATCGGTGAAGGCAACTCTGTTATGCTTGTTTGTTCTAAATAGAGATATCTCAAACATACCATCGGCTCCAAAACTTCTGGAAAATTCCTAAATTGGAGGCAACCTGAGAGATTAAGCCTCTGCAGTTTTCTCAACTTGCAGATGCTGCTTGGAAGAATCTCAAATTGTTTGCAGTTTCTGAGGTGCAATTCAGCAAGATCAAACAAACATTCTATTGAAGAGGGAATCTCTTGTATTGCTGTCTCATTTAAATACAGCTCCTTTATATTATTGGAAACCTTTGGAAACTCCGTGATACTTGAGCAACCGGAAAGATTAAGGTTTTCAAGACATACCAGCTTAGAAACCGCACTCGGCAGATTCTTTAGCCTGTTGCAGCCAACTAGATCTAAAAAAATGAGTTCCCTTAGATCACCAATTGAAGATGGCAGCTCTTCTATTGCAATTCCATTCAAGTACAAGTATCTTACATTCCTCGAAAAATCAGGAAGCCTGCTGATAGATGAGCAGCCAGAGATGTCAGCAATTTGAAGAGATGTCAACAAATATATGTTTTCTGGAAGATTCACCAGGAGTTTGCAGTTCTTCAAATTCAAAGCAACAAGTCCACTGAGTTCCCCAATTGATTGGGGAAGCTCCTCAACAGCAGTCTCATTTAAATTTAAATATGTCAGTTTCCTCGCAGTCTCTGGGCACTTCTTGAGATTTGCACAACCAGAAAGGTTCAGAGTCTCCAGACAACTTGAATTAATTCTACTGGGAAGATTGATTAGTCTTTTGCAGCCTCTCAAATCTAAATCAACAAGCTTGTCCAGATGCTGAACAGATGAAGGAAACTCAACCAAACTTTTACAGAATTGAAGATTCAATCTCTCAAGGTTTCTAGCCTTTGAAAGGCCTGGCAGGAGAGTTATGTGCTCACAATTGCTGAGGTTGACATCTTTTAAATTGCCGAGATTCTGAAGCAAAATGAAATCAACGAAAAGAAATTACGCGTGCATACCACACTTAATATCAAAGAAGGAACTATGCATGCATAGAGTTATTTTAGAATACCTGGTCTCCTCTCCACAGTTGCTTAACCTTGCTAGATGATAGGTTAAGGTTTACAAGGTTCTGTGGACGAAAATTGCAAGGCAAAGATGTCAAAGGGTATCCATCCCAATGGAGATACCTCAACTCTTCAGAAAGATACTCGAGGCCATGAGGAAGGTGCACTCTGCATTTAACTCCAGCTTCAGAATTATAAATTTTTAGCAGTCTAAGTTTATACATCCTTTTCAAGGCTGTAGAACTCAACTCGATTTCTCTTATTTTTGAAACATCCAAGAATATCCCTTCTACTTTTCCAGTTCCCTGAAAACCAGTGATGGAGAAACAAAGTTTGAGTAAGATTTTAAACTTACTAGTACATCCATATTGCATTGCATAAGAAAAGGAAAACTTTCGAGTATATGAATCTCACCAGATTATTGGTCAACACTTGATATGCATCTTTAGGACCCCACAATCTGCTTTGTCTTCCTAGCTCGTCAAGAGATTCTTTTCGAACAACTTCATGGGCCATTTCTTGCAAAAGATCATGCATTTCAACCTTGTCATCTGAAATTTTAATGAGACACCTGTCAATGAGAACACTAAATCCAATATCTGTTTTGAAACCGCAGCCATCTAAAATCCGCTTTACAAAATCAACTTGATGCCCTCTAAAGAAACATGCAATGTCGAGAAATATACTCTTCGTGTTATGATCACGTAGTGCATCAAAGCCTATTCTCAGCAAGTCATAAATATTCAGCTCAGGAAAGCTTTCAATCTCATTTAATTGAGATTCCCAGAAATATCTTTCTCTGCCAAATAAGAAGGAACCCAAAACTTGAAGAGCTAACGGGTTCCCTTTGGCATAATTTATTGCCTTGATTGACAACTCCATATAAGCTTTTGGGGGGTGGTTTCCCCTAAAAGCATTCAAGCTAAAGAGTTGAAGAGCTTCGTGGGCGTTTAATTCCTCAACCTCGTATATTTCATCAACTACATTCTTAAGTACTTGCCTGTCTCTTGATGTTACAACAAGAACGCTTCCTGGACCAATCAAAGGCACTTCAATTAAGTGTTGGAATTGTCGTACATCATTCACATCATCCAAAACGAGGAGAACTTTCTTTTGGCAGAGTTTATCCCTGATGAAAGTTGGTATATGTGGTGTGCCAACGCCGAGATTTTCTTCCTCCAGTAGTTTAGAAAGAAGTTCATCTCGTAGATCATTTAATCGACCCTTTTCTGATTCCTGCCTTATGCTGGGAAGAAAGTGGTGGCCTTCATATTGACTGGAGAAGCTATCGTAGAAAGCTCCCGCGATAGTTGTCTTGCCTATACCACCCATGCCCCAAATTCCTATTTTGCGGACATCTGATGGCACAATAGATAGTAATTTGTTTATTTGCTCCATGCGTGAATCTACTCCAACCAGACCCCTTAATTTGCTTGGGGATGCATAATTTAACCTTGTCCAGATAGTTTGCACAACTTCTGTAACTAGTTTGGACTCCGGACTGCAGAAAATGAAATTGCTGAATGTAAGTAATGTATCTTACACAGCATCTTTAACTCAAATTGTGTCTTTACATCAAATAAAAAATCTATAAGAAACAGGTGAATGCAAGTAATGTATGGGAGTGATTGTTTTTCATTATTGTAAGAAAATTTTGTCAAAGGTGAGGTTTCCATTAAGGTGCAAGTCCATTGGCTGTTGATGGAAGTTAGTTTTCCACTAAAAAACAGAAGAGCCTTGTGCCTTTTCAAGCAACAGGTACTATGAACTAAGAAGCACACATGATTTACAGGAGAGAAAAAAAACTATAATATGCACAAGAAATTTTAATTGCTATAATTCCAGAAAAAAATAAGTTGAAGATGGGAATCTATAGTTACCTAGTAACCTGTGAATCCCATCCAGATATACTGGCTGCGGATGTCAAGTCTGCCCTCCACCTTGGCACCCTTCCCATCTTCCCCTTAAAATGTTTTTCAAGCTCCGCAAATGCATTTCCAAAACTCCCAGTCAGCTCATCAATATCAGATGGGTCCACATGATAGAAGACCGGTAAAACAATCTGCCCATAAGTCTCTTTGCATTCAAGTATTTTCACCAGTTCATCCACACACCACAGAGAAGATGCATAGTTCTTGGAGAAAATTACTACAGAAATTCTTGATTCTTCAATCGTTTTCAGAAGGGCAGGGGTAATTTCTTGTCCTCTTTCAAGCCTATCATCGATGAAGGTCTTGATTTTCTTACGACACAAAGCATCATAGAGATGGCTGGTAAAATTGTTGCGCGTATCCTTGCCTCTAAAACTAAGGAACACATCATGCTTCCATTTATAAGCAACAGCAGATGAAGATGCCATATCAGACAGTTGCAAGATCGTGTCTCCCTCAATCACTAAGAATCGAAATCAATAAGTGCTCTTTTTTTTCTCCTAAAGACATACAAAGAGCACCCACTTCAACAGCTGAGCATTCGTTAAGAGAAATTGAAGTCCAAAAATACAAGAACCCACACTACATATATTTATCAGAAAATTCCTCAAACTCTTAACGATGGATATATACTAGCTTAATTTGATCACTCGTCACTTGCAACCACTGCTAGCTTGCTATTACTTTCATTAAAAGAACAGTCACTAGCAAAAACAATTACAGATGGAAGAATTAATATGTTGAAATTGAATATTAACTAAGATTTAGATAAATAAGATTTAGAGTTTATAAGAGTTTTAATATTAGTTAAAGAAAAAATTGTAGTTAATTTAGAAATCTTTATGAAATTTTTTTTTTTAACAAACTAGTTTGTTAAAATGATATTGTATATTTCCAATACCGTCTCTCCAAGAATGCTCTAAAGAAACCTCTCCAAAAAGCCATGGTCAACAAAATCAACATGAATATCTCTCACACAACCAAAACACCCAAATCCTTCCACCTCCACGTTCCTGTCCCACCCACACCACCTTTAACCATATAAGTTCTCCTTGGAGAGATATCTAAGTTATCGTTCCTACCATGATCTTCAAGCTCGCCTTCTCTAAATTAGATTTGTCCAAAGCTTTTTTATGGTAAGAAAACCAAACAAAGCTGGAAGATGATTTGGGGTTTGTATCCTTTCCTTTAAAGGCTCAACTGAATATTTGGTTTGACTCTTACAGGTTGCAGGTTAACTTAGCAAGATTTGAAACAACACACTATTGGAAAATCTGATCGATAATGTACTGATATTTGCTCATAAGAAGTCAAGTACACTGACACAATATTTAACATGGTTTGACAAATCACCTATATCCATAGAAGAAGCCATTTCTTATATAGAAAGAGTACAAGATATATAATAATAGAGGAGGAAGAATCATCCATGGGAGAAGCCATTTCTTATTCAAGAAGAGTACAAGATATATAACAATAGAGGAGGAGGAATCATCCACTCTTCAACAACTTTAACCTTACTCTATTTCTCTCTTCACAATGCTATAATGAGAGTCACTACTGGTTGTCCTTGGCAGTCCACTCTCTCCTATATTTCTCACATCTTTGGCTATATGATCTCTCTCATTTTGCTCTCAAACAATGCCTTCATTTATAGGCATCAATTGTAAGACAAGATCCACAAATCATGGCACTCATGGTGGCAACATATGGGTTGCACCATTTTTGTTAATAGTGGTGCAACTACCATTGTACCCTTTTGAAAATGGTAACCTTACTTCCTAGGATAGGTTGCACAATATATTGCCCATTAATGACAAATCCTAACAATCACCTTTTTTGACATTTATATGGGCAATTATCCTCTTAGTTCTTCAGCATAAGCTTGCATCCTGCAGCTCTTTTAAGCTTACTATTCCAAGAGCATATGTGGTCAAGTTTACAAGTACTTGCCAAACATTTCAATCACTAGAGTCACCAAAGCACACCTTTTTCTCACACAAAAGGATCAATACAACCAGAAGGTCTCCTACGTCACATTTGAAAAGTGTTAACGCTTGTCTCTGGGACACTACATTCCCGTTTGAGCGTATCAACCATGTTTAGTTTAGAATGATTTATCAAGCCTCATACCAAGGCTTACAACACCCCCTCAAACAAAAATTTCTATTTCCAAGTGCGACAGTCATTATCTGAGTATCTCAATATGATCACAAGCTCACCATTCTTCCAAGAGTCTACTCATCTAGGAGTTGCATATGTCCTCTATTCTATCCTAGGAACCATGCCTTACTTCTCCATGAGTCTTCCGCTATTAGTCTCAAGAGTCCAAGTAGCTCTCCACCATTAACCATGCGGGTAGCCCATTAAAGGTTAATCTATATTTGTCTTCATACTCTAAGTATTACAATTCTATTATCGAGCTCACCACCTTGACAAGAGTTAACTTGTTCCAAGAACCTGCGCATGCCCTCTACTCATTCCTAGCAGTCGCGTCTTAATGCTCCACAAGTCATCCACTTATTGTCCAAGGCAAATGTATTCTATCTCATTGATCTTTAGCATGGGGGCAATATCCATAGGGGTATTTATCTCTATACTCATTATAGCCACTTCATTGGCTACCCATATATCCACTCATATCTAGCCATCACATTGGCTCTATAGTGTTCTGAACTAGGCTCCTTCCACAACCCTCATACCTTCTTTTAAGGTGTCTCTGCTTGTCATCATACGACGGTCTGATTTGGGGCACCTATCACGACCCTCACACCCTCTTTAAGGTGTCATCGCCTTTTATAGGCAGTCTCATCCTCTTTCAGCTGGGATGCTTCAAAGTGGCTCCAAAAAATCTCTACCACTATGTGGACTATGGAAGAGATCACTACCACTGATCATATAGAAAGATAGAGTTGCGGTACACTCCTTGGAATTGTCCATCTTGATTTCTATGTTTGGAGCTTCTACGCCTTTCTGCTTGACAACTCCACCTACACCAACTTTTTTTTAGTGTCTTCACCTATTATCTTAGGCAGTCGCACCCCCTTAATTAGGGGCATCTACAACAACCCATCTTTCCATCCTTGCATACATTGGAAAAGTCCTAGTCTATTGCCTTCATCAAGAGCACAAGAGACTTCCTGTTGTACAGCCTTCACACAGTCTCTACTCTAAGCTTCATCTGGGAACTCTTCTTCTCCTTACACTTGTTGTCTCATTATAGTACCTTATTAGATCCTCCAGGTACTCTTGCATAATCTTCATGTGCCCTCATACAGTTATTGTCCTCTAGATTTCTCCTTGTTCCTTATGTTTGACAGCAGCTTATTCTGTCACAACATATATCCAAGTTAAAATAGAGTGTCAATCTTTCTCCCCTTGTTGTATTTCTCTTTTATTATCAAGGTCTTCATCAATTCTCCCCTCAAGAAATTACAATCACCGAATCTAACTTCCTTAGAGAAATCACCACTCTATCACATCCTTGATAATACAGAATCCAATTGTTCCTTTATGTCGTCATCTTGCTAGTCTTCAACAATTTAATAACAAACTGTCACATATACAAAAATAATACCATATGGATAATTCTTTCACTAAGCAAGTTCCTAGGAAAGATTGGAGGGGTCACATTGGTCCCGCTGAAAACTCAATCTTCTAGCTAGAACTTCTTAGGTCATATCTATCCATCGCACTATCTTTCCATATATACAACTATTTTCTAGCTTTGTTATGGCTTTCCTTTACAAGTGATCTAGAATATTTTGGTTTCATACTTGATTTCTCAACATCTAGCGAGACTACCAATTCTTAGATTCGTCAAGATTGGTCTTTATTAATTTTTACTCTCCACCTCAAATTCTCCACATGATCGAATGTCTAGAATGTCCCAATTTTGACTTCCCTCAAGGCAATTAAAATTTCCCTATATAGTAGTTCAGCATATATAATTGGGCAAACATGTGTAATTTCTTCTTCTTCATCTCCATCGAGCACCATAATGATCATTAGATGCCTTCTAATTGGACAATCTCTCTTTAATAATTCACTACCACCATTTTTGTTCTCAATCTCAATGATCGAACCATACCATTGCATCCGTAATGATCAAATTAGCTGGAAACAAGTCTGAAATAATCCAAATTGCACTTCAGACAACTAATATTTGATCAAAATAATTATAGCCTAATTAGCGGTCCAGATTCAATCTCAGATCCGGTTGCACATAGACTTCGCTAAACAAAATCTTATCCTTTGGTTCGTGACTCGACTCGGCTCACTTATGGCTCACGGCTGATGCTGTGGTAGGTGGGTCCCACAATACTAATGCGGTTGCTAACTAGTTGATGACATGGCATGCCACCTGTGCATGTTAATGTAATTGTGACAGCATGATGATGTCATCATCATCCAGATATGGCACGTGGGTCGAGTCGTCTAGTATTCAACTTGGTTTAACACATTCGGGAGAAGAAGATATTTGTGACACGTAGCGAGCGTCTGCGCGCATTGCCAACCACCCCACTAGCTGTTGGCGGTGTGTGAGCACGATTACGACATTTGATTTTGATACAGTTTTCAATAATGGCTTCGTCTCTTCCTTCTCTACATAGTGGTATAGTCAAAACATAATTTTGATAATTTTTATTTTTTAGCAAAATCAAACATCACTTTAAACCAAGTGCTCTGATACTAATTGTTGGAGAATCCGACTGATGATGCATTGATATTTGCTTATAAGAGGCCAAGCATACTGACACAATATTTAACGTGGTTTTGGCAAATTACCTAAATCCATGGGAGAAGCCATTTCTTATATAGAAAGAGTACAAGATATACAACAATAAAGAAAGAGAAAACATCCACTCTTCAATAACTCTCAAACTCACTCTATTTCTCTCTTCACAATGCTATAATGGCAACCACTACTGACTACCCTTGACAGCCCACTCTCTCCTATATTTCTCACATCTTTGGCTACACTATCTCTCTTATTTCGCTCTCAAACAATGCCTTTATTTATAGGCATTAATAGTAAGACAAGATCCAAAAATCATGGCATGATGTGTGGCACTCATGGTGGCAATACATGGGTTGCATTATTTTTGTCAATGGTGGTGCAACTACCATTGTAGCCTTTTGACAATGGTAACCTTACTTTCTAGGGTAGGTTGCATAATATATTGCCCATTAATGGCAAATCCTAACAGACATACCCTAGGTAAAATCCTTTTAAACATGTAATTAGACTGAAAAGCCTATCTTTTTGGATAAAGGACCACCAAACCTATACTACGGTTCTGCAAACTATGGATACCCCGCACCATCTAATGCCTCCGTAAGGAACTTTTCTTCCTCAAAAGCCACTTTAACTTGATTCAATAAAAGAAACTATCATTTACTATCCAAAACCATAAAACATATCATGGTTGAATAATTATTTGCTTGCATCCATATTGCAGGTGTATACCATGGAAAGATTCAAGATGAACTTATTTGTTATGATATTCAATCAATAAGAATGAGGTTTCATGGTGCTTCACAGGTTTTGATCCTATTTAAAGATCATCCCTTCATGATGCATACTTTTAAGGCTGACTTGCCTTATTAGGACAAATGTTTTGATGATATAAAGCCATGGCTTTCTACGAATTATGCTATTGATAGGTTAGCATGGATCTTTATATAAGGATTGCCAATTG